GGAAAAAATATCAACAACCTCCGATATGCAGATGATACCACTCTGATGGCAGAAAGTGAGGAGGAATTAAATCTCTTAATGAAGGTGAAAGAGGAGAGTGCAAAAATGGTCTGAAGCTCAACATAAAAAAAACTAAGATCATGGTCATGGGTCCCATCACCTCCTGGCAAATAGAAGGGGAAGATATGGAGGTAGTGAGAGATTTTACTTTCTTGGGCTCCATTATCACTGCAGATGGTGTCAGCAGCCACAAAATTAAAAGGCGTCTGCTTCTTGGGAGGAAAGTGATGATAAACCTAGACAACATCTTAAAAAATAGAGACATCACCTTGCCAACAAAGGTCCGCATAGTCAAAGCTATGGCTTTTCCAGTAGTGATGTATGAAAGTGAGAGTTGGACCATAAAGAAGGCTGAACACTGAAGAACTGATGCTTTTGAATTGTGGTGCTGGAGGAGGCTCTTGAGTGTCCCCTGGATCGCAAAGAGAACAAACCTATCCATATTGAAGGAAATCAACCCTGAGTGCTCACTGGAAGGACAGATCCTGAAGCTGAGGCTCCAGTACTTTGGCCATCTCATGAGAAGAGTAGACTCCCTGGAAAAGACCCTGGTGTTGGGAAAGTGTGAAGACAAGAGGAGAAGGGGACGATAGAGGATGAGATGGTTGGACAGTGTCATTGAAGCTACCAACATGAATTTGACCAAACTCAGGGAGGCAGTGGAAGACAGGAGGGCCCGGCATGCTTTGGTCCATGGGGTCATGAAGAGTTGGACACGACGACTAAAGAACAGCAACAACTACATTGTGAGGATTGTTTTAGCACTGAAGTTATTGAAATATCTTTAGCATATTTTAATTCACTTTGTGGTGAGGTTGTCTGTGAGCTTTAACAAATAAAAAGTCAGTTGCTGACTGACAACATCAGAAACATTTTTGAATGTTACTTGTATTTATCATGCATGGGACTGGTAGCAAACTACCTTGGGAGCCTGATAAGGCCTTAATGACTGTGTATAACTAAATAATCTTTAGACCATCTTTCATCCAATGGCCTTAATAACTCTGTGAATACTTACGTTGTGCCATGCAAAACATTCTTTATATATTTGTTCATGTTTGCTTTCATTTCAGGAAATACTTAAAATTTATGAAATGAATTAAGTTGGTGCTCACTAATTACCAGTATTTCAGTTTTGCCACCCACAAGTTGGAAACTGCAATCTGAGTTGCCACCTTGGTGACCCCTGGTTCCAATAATCTCAAGTGGTCCTCAGAGCATGTTAAGTAAGCCTTTATAGAAAACCCTAGAGAGCTAATAATCTTGGCACAATAGCATTGCCATAAGAGCATGAAGCTGAATTGGCAGAAGAAAATGGTATGGAAGAATCAAAACAGAAACATCACAGCCCTGTTGTCATTTGTGCTACTGCTGTAACCATAATTTCCCTGCAATTTACCTAACTATAGGCTGCCAAACAAATCTGGGAAAAAGATTTCAGACAGGGCTGTCTTTGAAAAGGAGTGGTCTTTGTTATGCTAGTGACCTTTAATTTTCTTTCTTATTTAAGGCCAAAATAGATACCATGGTGACAAATCTGCAAATTTGGATCTACTCTAGTTATGCAAAAATTGTCGGACAGGGGTGTGAACACAAGAGCAAAAAAGGATACAATGGCATTAAAGGCTACCTTTACCTATCACTCTCCCCCTCCTCCAACATTTAAGTGTGACTGGAGGCAGACCAGGGATTAAACATGTTATCTTCTTTCTTTCTGTCCAGTTTTATTTTATTTTTTAAAGAAAAGATTTAATAAGTGAAAGCTGAAAACATATGTTACAAAATTTTGTACCGCACAAGAACTTCATTATTACCTTTTTGTTTGGAACTATTTTGCCTGCATACTCTTTATAATCTCTTGTACTTTTTTGTCTTAAAAATATATTCATGCAAAAATATTTAAATAAGAAAACACATTAGCTCAATTGAAAATAAAATCAATTCAGGGCATTGACTAGACAGAGGAATTTGGAGTGATCAAGGTCACATTTAAAAGGCCCATCGGTGAAATCTATCTTATCTTGTGCTTAAGCAATCCGCATCAAAAGCTAACCAAATAGTGAGCTATATGCTTGTCTGATCACCTTTTTAGTATTTTTTAAATTATATTCCTTAATTCAGTAGTGTGATTCTGCTGCAATTTTAAAAGATGCTTTGATAAAAATGTTTCAAATTATTTAAAAAAAAGGAAAAGGTGGATCGGGATAATTGATTTGTCCCTTTCAAATCCACAAAGGTTTATCATGCTTATTTATGTAAATGAAGAGAAAATAAACAAGATGTAGCAAAAGTGCTTTGCACCCTGAAATGTTGAAAGTCAATTCACAAATGAAGAACTACTGGGTGGTACTAGAAGTAACCAATCTGGAAACTCTATCAATGCAATGCAACCTTGCATTTTTCTTTGGTTCCTATATCTTAAGAACATAAGAGCCCTGCTGGATCAGGCCAAGGGCCCATCTAGTCCAGCTTCCTGTATTTCACAGTGGCCCCAACCGATGCCTCTGGGAGCACACGAGTCAACTGGATACCTGTCTCCTGATACCCCTCCCCTGCATTTGGCATTTGGAGGTACCTTCCTTCTAAGCCTGGAGATTATACATCCCCATCATGGCTTGTAACCTGCAGTGGACTTTTCCTCCAGGAATCTGTCCAGTCCCCTTTTAAAGGCGTCTAGGCCAGATGCCATCAGCACATCCTGTGGCAAGGAGTTCCACAGACTGACAACACGCTGGATCAAGAAATATTTTCTTTGGTCTGTTCTCACTCTCCCAACACTCAATTGGAGTGGATGTCCCCTGGTTCTAGTATTGTGTGAGACGGGAAAGAGCTTCCTTCTCTCCACTTTATCCATCCCCTGCTTAATTTTATATGTCTCAGTCATGTTCCCCCTCAGGCACTTTTTCTCTAGACAAAAGTGCCCCAAACGCTGTAGCCTTTCTTCATAAGGGAGGTGCCCCAGTCCGGTCATCATTTTAGTCGCTCTTTTCTGCACCTTTTCCAGTTCCATTATGCCTTTTTTGAGGTGCGGTGACCAGAACTGTATGCAATCCTCCAGGAGCAGCCTTGAATGTTTACTGATGGACACAGCAGCTTGTTTCATCTCATTACAGATTCACTTTTTCCACTATAGCATCTCCTGGTGTTTTTATCTCCATCACCTGCACCTGTCCTGAGTCTGATCAATAAAAACTGTTAGCTTCTACACAATAGCCATGTTAGTCTGTGCAAGCATACCAGATCATTACCACTCAGAGTGAGTGAGAGCATTTGAGGAAGTGGAGTTGTTCCATGAAAACTCTTATTAAAATACAATATAGCACTTAGTCTTTAAGGTGCCACAATGTTTTTGCCTCTTGTTTTTTGTTTTGATTTTGTCTGATATATTAACAGGTCTGTGACTGGAGTCATTCCTTCTTCAGACAAACTCTGCTAAGATCACTCTCTACCTCTCAATAATCTTTGAAGATGCACACATTATTCTGCTGTCACTTTTCTTTCTCACTTACTGTATTTCGAGTGCATGAGTCAGTTATGGACAGAATGTCAGACTAGGACTCCAGAGACCTGGTTTTGAATCCCTGCTTAGGCGTAAGAACTCATGGTGTCAGTGGTGGTACTGGTAAAACCAATCCTGAAATAATTCAAACACAATGGAAACCATATTAGGGCCATTGTAAGCCAGAAGCAATTTGATGGCACATAACACTTCAACCTGCAGGTCTAGTGTTGTATTCTGTTTTATAAGGTACTGCAGAAAATTTTTATTTTTAAGGTTGTGACAAATGACTAATACCAGTGTAAAGCACGTTTCATCTACTCTTTGGATAAATACCTCTCTTGACTGTACATAGTGACTGGTGCTCTTTCACTTGTACTCATAAAGAGGGTGTGTGAGACGTGCAGAATCCACATCTTCCCGAGTAATCCAATACTGGAATACTAACATGCTCCACATCTGTACTAATGAATGCAGCCTTGTGTCTACTCTTTTGTGTCCTCTTGTCCACTTTGCCCTTTCACCACTTTACTCTCCACTTTCTAATCAACCATCAAGTTCAATCCTTCCTGGAAACCCCTATTCTTTGATCTAAACACTGTTTAATGCTGGCTGTTGTGGGGACAAATAAAGAAAAACAAAGTGGGGTGGGGGGGAGAGAGAGACGACACACGCTCCTAACATGCTCAGAGGCACTCCTTAACATCACAGTCCTTCAAAGTCTTCAGCGCCCATAAAGAGGCTCCCAACTGGCAGAGACCTCAAATCCCATCGCTTCTTTCCCTCCTGAACTGGGGGGTGCGGTGGGGAAGCAGCTTCTCTGTGTGAGGCCCTCCGTGACCCACGCTCTTTGGCATCATCATCATCGCCATCATTCCTCCTCGTCCTCCTCCTCCACCCGTCTCGTCTTCAAGGAAGAAACCGAAGCAGGCACCTTTTGGTGGCGGGTTCGGATCCTGAGGGCGGTTTCCCAAGCTGCACCGCGGCGGCAGCGGCGCTCTCTGGCTCGGCCCGTCGCTGTCACCGCCAGGAGGAGGCTCAGGCGGCTGCGCTTTTCCGACCGGCCTGCCTGCCTGCCTATCTCTCGCCCGCCGCCGCCGCCGCCGCCTGCAGGAAGGAGCCCTCGCTTCTGTCGTTGCCGCCGCCGCCGCCGCCATCATGGTGCCCGGGGCAGGAGCCCGAGCTGCGGCCTGGGGGCTGTGAGCCCACCATCACTTGTCTCCAGCCCCGCTTCCACTCCCACCGTCGTCACCTCGCCGCCGCCGCCGCCGCCCTTCCCGCTTCCGCTCTGGGCCGGTAAGAAGCAACCCACGAAGGGACCGCAAGCGGGAGGCGGGCCTGGCCTCCGTCGCTCGCCCTGGTGCCGCTGCTGGGGCCTGGCCGCCTGAGCCCGGTGTCATCTGAAAGCGGTGGCTGGGTGGGAGGCGGAGACGGAGGCGCTTTGGGCCTGGAGGGGTGTGAAGAATGTGAGGTAAAAGGACCTGGCCGGGTGGTGAGGGAGGGGGAAGGAGAAGGAGAAATCCGTTTGTCTCCTCCCGAACCCCGCTTCTTTTCGGGGCCTTCGGCGGCTGAGGCGAGCTGGGATCCCGGCGGCGGGCAGCGGGGCTGCAAGGCGAGCAGGCCTCGGCGGAGCTCTCCGCCTCGTTTGCAGCCTTTTTCCTCCGAGCCTTTCGCAGGTCGGGAAGCCCAAGGCAAAACAAGATAGACAAACAAAGGAAGGGACTGTAAGGGCCAGCCAGGTAGATCTTATCTGGGCAGCTTTCTTCTTCTTCAGGAGAGAGGTGGCCTCCTTTGAAAAGAGGAGAGACAAAGGGACTTACTTGGAGGGTTTTGACCGACCTACAGAAAAGGCACATTCCGAAGTCTTTGGCCCAGAACGATTTCTTGCTTGCCGTATCTCTTCCCTTTAAAAAGCTTGCTGGTTTAAAACAAAAAAGGTGGGAGGGGGCCCTTGGACCACTTTTCAGATATTTGACACTGAGACACTCATGACTTTACAGAGTGCTTCCCGTGTCCTAAGCCTTTTGAACTTTCTAAACCAGGAATTGACAGCTTGATCCAAGAGTGAGGAGTCCCAAGTGTAGCTGCTTCCTGTTCTAGCAAAGGGAGTTGTAGGATGCTTGAAGACAAGGTATGAAATATAAAAGACAAAGGGATTGACAGATGCACACAACCCAAGCATTTGTACCCAGCTACCAGGTTAGGTCCTTTCACAGGCAGTTCTGTATTGTTCTGGATTTGATATTTTAAGGAAAGATAGACATGTTCTCCTGCAGGACTCTTCCTTTTTTTCAGAATCACTGCTTTGATAAGTGTGATGTCCCTGAAAATAGATATACAGAAGCAGAGAGTTCTGATTTCGTTCTCTTGTTTAGTAAGGAACTTAATTCAGAAACAGATTAAAGGCTATAGTCATAGGCACACTTGCAAGGAAATTATTAATATCCATGGAATATACTTCTGAGTAAACATTCCTTGGAGCAAACAGCTGAAAGATAGAACCACAAATGTGTGATTTCCAAAATTATGTGCAATGTTAAATTCTTCCAGGACTACCAATATAGGCCCAGATTTATTCCTTTCTAGGCGGTGTCATCTGAAAGCGGGCTAAACCGCAGAAGCCTATGCTGCAGGGTCAGAAGACCAAGCAGTCGTAAGATCGAATCCACGCAACGGAGTGAGCTCCCGTCGCTTGTCCCAGCTCCTGCCAACCTAGTGGTTCGAAAGCATGCAAATGCAAGTAGATCAATAGGGACCACCTTGGTGGGAAGGTAACAGCGTTCCGTGTCTAAGTCGCACTGGCCATGTGACCACGGAAGATTGTCTTCGGACAAAACACTGGCTCTATGGCTGGGAAACGGGGATGAGCACCGCCCCCTAGAGTCGAACATGACTGGACAAAAATTGTCAAGGGGAACCTTTACCTTTACCTAGGTACAGTATTGGGGTATAAACTGAAACACACACACACACACACATTGAGGTTATCTGCTTTGCCATTTGGATGGATATCTGCCCAGCATTATACTTCTGTATAGTAAGATTTTTTTAGTGTGTGTGTGGGGGTGTGGGTGTTATTCACACATAGTATGATCAGAACACCAGAGCGGCTACAATAATATATTCACTCACTGATAGTTATGTCTGAGTAGACATGAATAGGATTATGCTTTTAGAGCTAAGAACTTTGTAAATTTGTAAATAACTATTCTTTAAATTACAGTGGGGTCTTGACTTAAGAACGGCTTGAGTTAAGAACATTTTGACTTAAGAACCACTCTCATAGGAAAATATTGACTTGACTTACATACTTAGATTTGAGTTTAGGAATTGAAAAAACCACGTGGGAGGCAGGGAAAGTGCAAAATTTGAACTTTCAGTTAACTGTTGGCCAGTGAAAAGGGTGCCTGTCTGCTTCCTCACTCCTCCCAGCGTTTAGAGAGTGGATTGGGAGACAGTCTTCAGACTGCCTGGTACTGGACTGCCTGGACTGTATTTTCCCTGCCTTCCCTGAACCTTTCTTGACCTAAGAAAAAAAAGAAACAATATAGCCCCCTCGAGTGGTCGAAGGTGGAATAGCAGCTTCCCATTAGTTTCTACGGACGGAAAAGAGCAGATACGGATCAAATGGTTCTCAATGCATTCCTATGGGAAATGCAGATTTGACTTGAGAACTTTTTGACTTGAGAACCGCCTTCCAATACGGATTAAGTTCTCAAGTCAAGACCCCACTGTAGCATCTTGCCAGAAGAAGAGCATGCCTAAGCAGATCATACCACAACAAGATGTTTCTTGTTCAGAATCAAGGTTAACATGAATAGAATAGAATCAGAAGTAATCCTAGCTGATTGGACTGCTATACAGATGTACTTCTAAGCTGAAAGGGCAACTTGTGGTCCTCTAGATGTTGGTTTTCAGCTTCATGCTGCCAAGAGCCTGGAGGACTTGCACCACAGCACGACTTGCCTATCGTTGCTCTAAGTTATGAAAATGATTGAAACAAGGTACATGCTTAAGATTATTTAACATTCCGAGTGTCTTGTAGCATAAAGTTTTCCTTGTGGGGAATGGGACTCTTTCAGCATAGATGCTACATTGGAATTGTTTATCTATGAGAGCTCCTGAGTGAATGTTTGTCAATAGTAGTTTATAGACTTCAGTCCACTGATGTCTGAAACGCCATGTGAAATCAAAACAGATTTTTCCATTGGAAGCATTTTTTGCTTGGGAATAATTAAAACATTCTTACCAAAATGACCCTCATAGGTGATGCAGACTATGATTGAAAAGGTGCCATATCTGAATAATTGCTCTACCTTTAATTACCCTCTACCTTTCTGAATATATTATTTTATCTAGTTCTGCCTACTAATACTAGCAGTTACTACTTATTATTCAGGCCATTTTTTATTTCCCATCCACAGTATATTGGAGTAAGGATGTTTTCATTCAAAAGATGGAAAAAAGAAGCAGTGGAGAACACAAGAGGGTTGTAAGCTGAAGATTATGTCTTTTGATTTCTGAGTTTAATTCATGCATATGCATAAGGGCAGAGCAATTGCATGATAAAATACTAGTCTGGAAGGTCCCTACTTGTGTGTGGATTACGTGACCAGAGGGATAGCAAAGCTTATTAATTACAAACCCTTTGGAGAAAAATTCCAATTTAGGGTTTTGTTTTTGTTTTTTTGAATGACTTGCTCTGTGTCCTAGCTAGAAGATGAGATCCATTTCTAGAGTGGAAGAAAATTTGAGATTTTTTAAATTGAGTAGTGTTTTCCATGTTTTCCACAAGAGTGTATAAAAATGCTATAGACAGGCAAGAACTGTTCTGTTTATGTTTGATTTTTGTGTTTGTTATGCAACTTGAACTTTTTAGTGAGCTTATATTTGAAGAGATTTATCTTATGTCCTTGCCTGGCCTCTTTTGGGTTGCAGCATTAACTAATAATTGTTTTCACAAGTCTAATGGATGTCGAATTACCAGCAAAGATTTTGGGAAACTCCTGCTTTCTTTTCAGAATCCTGTGTCGAGAATGCAATTTTTTTTTGTACTGTATATACATATCAAACTCTGTTAGTGACTCTCCACACAAATTGTTCACACAGTAGGCTTCTTGAATTGGACAGATGTTTAATTTTGTGTAAGATTTTAGGATATAACTTAATTCAAGAAGCATTCTTCCAGGTTGCACTCTTTATGAAAAATCTGTAAAATCTGTATGCAGACCTAGTTTTGCTGGTATTGAACATAGGAAGCTGTCTTGATTATGTGTTAGACCATTAGTCCACCTAACCCAGTATAACTGCAGTGGTTGTCCAGGGTTGTTTCTTCGTGCTACCTTCAGATGCTGGGTGTTGAGTCTAGGACCATATGTGTTCTACTGCTGAGTTGCCCCCTCTTAAACACTTGTGCTGGTTTTTATAATAACACCTCTTGCCCAAACTGGAGGGAAATATTATTTTTTAGTGATCATGAAAACTTAATATCGAAGTCAGTGTACATTTCAGGCAATGTGTGTGCTTACACAGGGTAAACTTTGGGGGCTGTAACTATACACTGCAACTAAAACAAGAAGTAACTTATGTTTTTGTATAAATTCTCAATTATGGAGTTGGCTCCATAATTGAGCAGAGCAGAACTTGGCATAATAGATGATCCTGTGAATGGAAGAAAGGCAATGATTTTACTCATTCTTCTTTCTTTCACCTGGTAATGCCCTGTAGAAGGCTGGGCCTCCAATATAGGACATGAGATGGTTCTGAGTCCTTTGAAGGAAATGAAGAATCAGTAAAGAGTGACACCCTACTTTTCTCCAGTGAGAGTCTCTTTTGGACCTAGCTACAAGTTACAGACAATTATGTGTTGGAATTCAACACCACAGTTACTAAAAGAGAGAGTTCCTCAAGTGCCAATTACCTGTTGTTTTAGCAGCAGGGTTTTTTTTTGTACCTCCTATAATTTGTAAATTAGCTGCTTCATTTTGTGATTGGTTTGGAAATGCTAAGGCTGTTCTTTTGCAAGTGTGATTTCATAGGCAAAAACACCTGCCTCAGTCTAGCTCTGATGTTGGCTGATTTCACCAGTCAGTTCCCATAAAGGGTATCCCATAAAGGGGGTCTTCTAACCTGGATCTGAACCTCTGTTTTCAAGAACAGAGTTCTTCAAATCATGCCTAAGTACTTGGAGGAAATACCAGGTTGTGATTTAATTATTACAAGAGTTCCATAGGTTGGAGCTGTGTTGAGAATGCTTGTATAAATAATTCACATTTTGTTTTGACTGCATTTGTCTA